AGCCTTGTAGGAAGAATTGTGTCACTGTGGGGGTAGGCTTTGAAGTCTCCTTTGGTCAAGCTATGCTCAGTGTGACACAGTTCACTTTCTGTTGCCTAAGGATCAAGATGTAAAACTCTCAGATCCTTCTCTAGCACCATGTCCACCATGATGATAATGGACTAAACCTCTGCAACTGTAAGCCACCACAATTAAATAATTTTCCTTTATAAGAGCTATCATGGTCATGGTGTCTCTTCACAGCAATAGAAACTCTAACTAAGACAGTTCATTATTCAATTTATTAATTTATTGATTTTCATATGTTGAACGATTCCTGTTTCTCCGAGATAAAACCAATCTGATGTGCTAGATGACCTTGTTTATATACATCTGTATTTGGACTACAAGTACTTCATATGGGATTTTTACATGTATATTCATGAGAAAATTTGATTTATTTTCTGTTGCTGTCGTTTTGTTTTTACCTGGGTTTTGGTACTAGAGCAATACTGGCTTTATAGGAGTTTGGGACCCTTCCTTCTGTTCCCTTCCTTCCTTCCTTCTTTCCTTCCTTCCTTTCTTCTTCCTTTCTTTCTTTTTGAATAATTTAAGAATTGTGGCTGTAGATCTTTAAAAGTCTGGTAGAATTCTGCTATGAATACATCTAGACCTGGGCTTTTTCTTTTTTAAGTTTGCAGACTTTTGATTGCTGTTTGATCTCTTTATTTGTTAAGACTTTATTTAACTTATTGAACTATTGTCAGTCTAATGATAGTAGTTTGGAAAATCTAGACCCATGTCCATTTCTTTTAGATTTTCTATCTTAATAAAATATAGGGTTTTATAATCTGCCCTTATAATATTCTGAATTTCATTGGTGTCTGTTGTAATGTTTCCCTATTCATCTTCGGTTCTTTCACTTAATTGCACCATGGATCTGTCAACCTTATTCTGAAACAAACAAGCGAACAGTTCTTAGAACTCTTGATTCTTTCTTACTGGGTTTTTTTTTTGGGGGGGGGGCTTTGTTTTGTATTGGTCTCAACAATTTCTTCTCTGATTTTTATTGTTTCCTTCCATCTCTTGGGTTTCTGTTTGTTTTTTACAAAATTCTTGACTTGCATCATTAAGTCAGGTTTTTTGTTTGTTTGCTTGTGAGTGCATTGTGCATTTTTTTTCTAATTTTTTAAAAAAACGTAGGCACTTAGAACTCCAAACTTACCAATTAGGACTGCTTTAATGTGTTTCTGAGGGTTTTATACATTGCATTTTCACTTCATTTAGTTTCAGGATTTCAAATGTTTCTCTCTTTGTTTCTTCTTGGACCTACTCATCATTCAGTGATGTGTTGCTTCATCTCCATGGAAATAATAACATAGTTATTTCTAATTTATCAGAACTTAAGATTTGTTTTGTGTCTGATCATGTGATCCATTTTAGAGAAACCTCCATGAGTTGCTGAGTAGACTATACAAATTTTGTTGTGTGGAATAATATATTTTTAGCTATAGCCCTATGGGGATTTTTTTTTTCTGGACCTGTGCTGTGGATATCGCTCTGTATAAATAAAATGCTGATTGGCCAGTAGCCAGGCAGGAAGTATAGGCAGGATAAGCAGAGAAGAAAATTCTGGGAATAGAAAGGCTGAGTCAGGAGACATTGCCAGCCGTTGCCATGAATACCAACATGTAAGATACTGGTAAGCCACGAGCCATGTGGCAAGGTATAGATTTATAGAAATGGGTTAATTTAAGATGTAAGAACAGTTAGCAAGAAGCCTGAGCCATTAGGTCAAACAGTTTAAATAATATAAGCATCTGTGTGTTTATTTTATAAATGGGTTGCGGGACTGCTGGGGCTTGGTGGGAGCTGGAGAGAAACTCTCCAGCTACAGACCTGTCTGTTTAGTGTTTTGTATGTTTCCTATATTTGCACGTATATGTCTTTCTTTAATTTGGGGAAGTTTTCTTCTATGGTTTTGTTGAAGATCTGGTCTATGCCATTGACCTTGGATATGTCTCCTTCTTACCTAGTCATAAGTCAAGGATTTGGTCCTTGCACTGTGTCCCATAGTTTCTGCATGTATCTTCCTTGTGTGTTTTGTTTGGTTAATTTTTTCATACTACTTGCCTGTGGGGTCTAATGCACCTACTTTATCTTTTATTACTTTATCTTTTAGTTTTGACATTTTATCTTAAATCACTCTACCTGTAAGATATTCCACTGAGTTTTCTAATTTAGTTATTGAGTTTTTCAATTTCATCTTAATTTCAGCTTGAGCTCTCTTCAATAATTTTGTCTCTTTATTGCAAATCTTGGAATATCTTCATTAATTTATTTATCTTTGTGTTTTCTTTGGCATCAGTCAGGCATTTATTGCCCTTCTTTTTAAGTTTATGAAATGTTTTTGTCTTCTTTAATATCTCTGAATTCTTTGATGAAGGTCCTGATTGTTCTCATTATCTACTGGATGCCATTTTTATGAGACTTGTAGATATTGGATGAGATATACTATAATGAATGGAACCCAGGCTAGGTATGGGATTTGGGAAGGTACAGGCAAACGAGGGTGTGGAAGGCTCATCGGAATGAAAAGGAGCACAGGATGTGAAACCTTGGGTAGGTCATGAAGTTTGAATGTTGTAGGCATGCTATGGTCAGGCTACCTCTCCAGGTTGTGCTGGTGCACAGGATCCAGAATGAATATATTCTAAAGTGACACTATGTCCATCACTCTGACAACAGAACTATTAAAGCAATAGCCCTAAAGAGACTGTAATCCCCCACAGGAATCTCATACCGAGAGAATGAAAAGGCTGAAACCTGGTACCAGAGAGATCCTGCCTCTCTGAAAGAGATTTCACACATTTCTAAGAACTTAGTAGGCTACTAAGTTCTGATGGAGAGATGGGGATAAAGATAGGTCAGTGGTGAACAGAATCACCACTTTGCTGGGACTGCTGCTATGCACATAACCCTGTCCCTCTAATCTCATTTCAGGACCCCAAAGGTAGAATGGAAGGGGATCACTGTAGCAGGAATCTTAAAAGTTTTTATTAATAAAATCAAACCTGAGCCAGATATTGGGGTGAATGCTGGAAGATCAGAGAGGAAGAACAGGCCACAGCTACCTCACCTCGCCAGTTCCTCAGCTGATCTGTTTCCTCAGACTGGAAGCCTCTGAGATCTCATCCAGAATGAATCTCAGCTGAACTGCTGCTCCAAAGCCTGAAAGCTTAACCCGCCAAAAGCTTCTGGTTCCTGGTCTTCACGCCTTATATGCCTTTCTGCTATCTGCCATCACTCCCTGGGATTAAAGGCTCACTTCTTGGGATTAAAGGCGTGTGTCACCATGCCTGGCTGTTTCCAATGTGGCCTTGAACTCACAGAGATCCAGAGGGATTTCTGTCTCTGGAATGCTAGGATTAAAGGTGTGAGTGCCACCATTTTCTAGCCTCTGTATCTAGTGGCTGTCTGTTCTCTGACCCCAGATAAATTTATTAGGGTGCACAATATTTTGGGGAACACAGTACCACCACAGATCACTGAGACTCTTTATCCTTTTCCCCAAAGTCTTCACATTGGGCAAGTCTTCTTCCTTATGCTTTTTACAATTAATATGACTGCTCTGATTGCCTTCTCAAAGACAGGTGGCTGAACCAGGCTTCTGGAAGTACAGACTGTGACTCCAACGTCTGGTAATAGTTTCTGCGTTCCAGGTTTTACATTAGGATCTTTGATTCACGTTAAATAATTTTTGCTCAGAGTGAGACATATGGATCTACTTTGTCTTTTTTATGTGAGTTTTCCCAGCACTTTTCATACAACTAAGAAATGGAACCAGCCTAGATGTTGATCAACAGATGAATGGGTAAGGGAAATTGCTACATATGCACAATGGAATTTCATTTGGCTGTAAAGAAAAACAAAACTATCAGAAAAACAGAAGAAACTTGAAATTGCATTAAGCAAAGTGGCCCAAACTCAGAAAGGTAAATACTGAATATTTTCACTCATATGTAGATTCTACATTATAATTTTTATATATGTGAAGATGTGTGTGTATCTATCTGTGTTATAAAACTGGAAAGGAGATCATGGAAAGGGTAAAAGAAGTCTTAAGAGAAGGTTGGGAAAGGAAAAAAGTGAATAAATAGAATAAATGTGGTGTGCGAAGAAAAGGTCGTCTAACAGAGAGAAGGGACAGAGGAGGTGGGAGAAGAGGGTAGGGGAGAGAAGTGGGAAGGGAGGAGGATCAACCAAAACAAAGTAAGCATAAAAATGCCACCAGGAAACCCACTACTCAGTATGCCAACCTTAAAACCAAAGAAATTAAAAATAATAAAATGAAAAAGGAAAGCAACTTTATGCCAAAGAGCTTAGAGAATGTTTAAGTTAGGTGACAAGCCCTTTTGGTCAACAGTAAAAACTACAAATAAGAAAGACGAAAGGAAGGGAGGAAGGAAGGAAGGAAGGAAGGAAGGAAGGAAGGAAGGAAGGAAGGAAGGAAGGAAGGAAGGAAGGAAGGAGGAAGAAGGAAGGAAGGAAGGAAGGAAGGAAGGAAGGAAGGAAGGAAGGAAGGAAGGAAGGAAGGAAGGAAGAAAAAAGAGAGAGAGAGATTGCCTCATATTGTTTATGCTTGGTGTAAATATTTGGTCATTGTTATTTGTCAAGGTAACTGAAGTTTCAAAATTATGTCTTTCCTTGGTTTGTTACAGTTTTAAGAAAGGAAAGACACAAATGGACATGCACAATATTTTGGCACAAGGGCTGACAAGAAGACTCAACAAACAAAGTCTTGCTTCCAAGTCTGATGACCAGAGTTCCATCCCCAGGACTCATGTGGTGGAAGAAGAGAACTAACTTCTACAAGTTGTTCTCTGAGCTTCATACATGTGATGTGGCATGGACACACACATACACACACACACACACACACACACACACACACACACACACACACACACACAAAACAAATAAAAATGTGATAATTTCTTTAAATGAAACAATACAAAAGATCATAAATCTAATGTTTTATTACTTAATGGTAGGGCAATATCAAACACATTTTACAACTATAAACAAGGTGTCTAGATAGTTATTCAAATTGTTTTTTAATCTAAGATAGTGAAATATCTTTAAAAATCTACATCCAGTACTCAAATAGCATTTTTTTCTAACAAACTTTTATTGAGATGCACTATAGATCTGAAAAAAACAGTAGTGTGTAGGTACTTGAAGGGAGAGAGTCTGCTCATCTTGGAATTTGGCAGGGTCTGGAATGCAACAGCAGCATGGCCACTGCCAGCTCTCCTCAAGCCTCGGGTAAAGATGGCCCCCATTTTGGTTCAGCAGTGACAACAGCAACAGTTCTTGCCTTTCCTGCCCTGCTGACACCTGTGACCTTCCAATGATGACTATGTGAACAGCCTTGAATGGAATAAAGAAAAAGAAAGAGAGATTTTCCTACTTTTAGGATTCATTTTTTTCTGACATTTTTGCTGCATAGACTTTATAAATATTATTTGTTTTGAGTTAGGCAATAAATATCCAGTGCTGAAAAACTGAACAATTCAAATGAGCCATTAAAGTAATTAATTTCATAGTGTTTTCCATTTTATGGGTTTAAAGCTTTCATGGAAAAACTGAACCTTATTTAAAAACATACTTTAAGTGATCACATGGCTTTTACAGCCTATACTTGTATTTTTTGGTAGATGTCGATTATCCTTTGAACTTAGTAGTTTTTACTTTGAGATAAAATTCATGTTAATTATCTCTAAATTGTGATTTTTAACAATCATATTAGCGGCTAGAAGAAAAAACTTAAGCATTCCCACATGCTTTAACAAGGTAACATTACAGTTACTTAGAAAAACACCGTGATTAAAAGAAAGATAAATTAGAGGGCAGTTTCCAAATGGCAGCTTTTTGATATTGGAGTGGTATGATGACAAAGTCAGACGACTTTATAACACAGGTGTCTGCAAGGAGCTCATGAGCATTTCATGTGCCGTGAGCAAGAGAGCTGCATGCTCATTATGGCGAGGTTCACAAAGTATCAAATGGCTCTGAGCTTTGCCATCTGTGCCTGTAATCCAGAAAATTATACCTGATGCAAAGTACAGCTTTAGAAACCTGTAACGTAATGGAAACTATTCTAAAGGAGACAGCATGGGCTTTCTGGGATGGTGTGTGCAGACTCAGCGTGGAATGGCCACACTACAGGGTTTTCTCAATTGACACACCCTTTCAAGTACATGCTCTTTTTCAGTTCCATGGCAAAGGCATTTCCTGTAATGTATGCCACAGAGCTCATACTCCAGACTAAGAATGGTATGAGTGATTTCATGACATACATCTGAATAATGGTCATTTGTCTAGGACCAAAGCTTTATAACTTCTATTATTTTATATTCTATTCATAGCATCATATAGCATCATTATCTACAATTACTTTCATTACTGATGGATCACTCTCTCTCTTTTTTTTCTACATTAGGTTGTACTTCATTTCAGGGTGACATTCTTGAAGAGCTCACCACAGGGCATCATAATGTAATTATGTAAACTCAAACTGCTCTTGTTGGATCAAACAATGTAATCAATGTATGCTAAGTTCAGGTGTGCCAGAATCAGCTTTGCAAGAATAAAGGTTAGAATAACAACAGCAGTGGCAGGGGCACAGAGCATGAAAGGAATCACTCAGTAGCAGTAGGTACTACGGTTTGTGCCACCAAGAAGACTATGGAGGTCTAGAGGCTCAGAGAAGTGGTAAAATTACATTGTTTGGGACTGTATGTAATGGTGACTTCAGCTTGAGATATCTCAATGTAAAAGTACAGCTCTTATCTGTGGTGATACATTGTACACCCCAATAAAGCTTACTTGAAAATTGTGTACCCCAATAAAGCTTGCCTGGGGATCAGAAGACAGAGTCAGCCACTAAATTAGACATAGAGGTCAGGCAGTGGTGGCACACACCTTTAAATCTATCACTCAGGAGGCAGATCTCTGTGAGTTTAAGGCCACATTGGGTTACACGAAATAGAACCAGGCAGTGGTGACACACGCCTTTTTAATCCCAGGAAGTAATGTGGCAGGACACAGAAAGGTATATAAGGCATGAGGAAACAGGAACTCTCTCTCTCTTGAGGCTGAGGATTTCATAGAGGTAAGCTAGTGGCTGGCTCTTCTGCTTCTCTGACCTTTCAGGCAAGCTTTCCTGGGGTACACAATATATCACCACACTTATCTCAAACGGGGCAAAATTACTCTGGAGTCAAATATGAGTGATCATGGCCTGTGAACACAGATTCGTGTTTCACAAAACACTGTTTTCCAACATGGTAGCAGCTTCTTGAAGTTCTGATTGTAACAAAACAAAGTCATAAATCAGTATTATAAAATATATTTGTGGGAACATCAGTCAGGCTGTAGAAATGTGAGGAAATCTCTGCTATGGGCCTTGGATGACATCTGATGACATTCTTAGCCTTCTGGTTGGTGGGAGTTAGTGGTCCCTTGAACACTGCCAATAGATTTACTTGATAGTCACAAGGATGGATATTAGGGAAACACAGTGGTAAGCAGTGAATGACCATAATTGGGGTTAAAAGTAACCCAAGTCACTTGGTTCTTGACCTGAGACATTCCAGCTCTCCACAACCATAGAGGTTCTATTTGCTCTTTTCACCTTTGTGTTTTATGTGTGTTTTATCTGGGAGTCAAACTCATGTCTTCAGTCTTGTGAGGCAAGCATCTTTCCCTGCCCAGTCATCTTATAGGCTTATGACTTATAGGCCTTTTTTGTTGTTGTTGTTTTGTTTTTTTGAGATAGGGTTTCTCTGTATCCTAGCTGTCCTGGAGCTCACTCTGTAGACCATGTTAGCCTCGATCTCAGAGATCCATCTGTCTCTGCCTCCCAAGTACTGGGATTAACAGCATGTGCCACCACCACCACCCAGCTTCAATCTGTGTTGAAGAATCTTTAATATAAGTGTGGCTTTTTAAAAAAAAACATCAATCCATAGGTGAATTAATCAGTCAGAGAGTAGGGACATGAGTTTATGATGAAGATTTTTAAATAAAATTGCATAGCAAAGTGTTACTAACAGAGGAGTAAAATAATCTCACTGTGGACAAAGAGCACAGCATACAGAACTGATCCAGGAAGCCCCAGTGCAAGGCTGACGCTAGAGGCTCCTCAGAGTCTCAATATTACGTGTCGGGCTGGTTCCAGATTCTAGGGGCAGGACAAGGAGTCAAGTAAAGTCAACTAGGACTCTACTGCCTTTAACATTTTAGGGATATTTTCAAGAAAGAAGTATAAAAACTGTGAATGTAAAACAGGATAAGGATGTTATGGCAGGCTGGTGTCTTAGGGTTTTCATTGCTGTGAAGAGACACCATGACTATGGCAACTCTTACAAAGGAAAATATTTAAATGGGCTGGTTTACAGATTTGGAGTTTTAACCCATTATTGTCATGGTAGGATATGGTGATGTGCAGGCAGACATGGTGCTGGGGGAGGTGCTGAGAGTTCTACATTTTGATCTGCAGGTAGCAAGCGAGACTGTTTGCAGGGAGTAGCTTGAGCATATATGAGACCTCAAAGTCCACCAAGACTTTGACACACTTCCTCCAGCAAGGGCACACACCTCCTAACAGTGTCACTTTCAATGGGCCAAGTATTCAAACACATGAGTCTATGAAGGGCATACCTATTCAAACCACCAGCAATGGCTACTACAGTAACAGGGATGGTACTGTCAAGAAATGAATGATCCGAGTAGATAGAAAACAGGTTTATTTAGCCTATTGTAAGGGGCAGCAGACTAGACAATAAGAATACCACCTGTAGCATGAGGCACTGAGTTGCAATGTCTTCGTTTTAGAGAATTTCCTGTTAGAGTGAGGTGCTACTTTGCAGCTTCTTGGCATCTCATTCCTGCCATGTGATTAAAGGTAGTCAAGACTGGTTTATGTATGGTCTTGGGAGGTTAGCATGAGTTGTGCTGTGTGTGTAATAAGTAGTCATGAAATCTTTACCATGAAAATAAGGGCTGTCCTAAGTGACCAGTGCGGGCTATGTGAAGAAACCTAGCTTACAGCACTCTGTAAGTAGCAGTATGGCTCAAGGCAAACTTTTCTCTTTGGGATTTCTTGAATAAGCTTGAGAAAACTCCCTAATGGAAACTGCAATAATAAATAATGCTGGTTCATGGAAAAGTTGAGACCAATTGCCTCTTAAAATGATTTTTTTAAGGGAAGTGTTATAACCACAGGGCCATGACCACGCCTTGAGATGGGAGAAGACATAGCTTAAAATGAAAGATAAGAAAAGATAACACTCACAAACATCATGGCAGGGAAACTGGGAGAGTCTTCCAAGAAAATCACAAACAAAAAGAAGGTCTGGCTTTTGTTAAGTTTTATTGGATAATGGGAAATTCCACCCTACATTAATTTAGTTTGACACAGTGACTCCTGTTATGCATGGAGCCAATACTAGATGGGACCCTAAGTTTCTCTTCCAGCTACAACAGAAAAACACTCAGTTTGATACAGCGTTTTCAAGGTAACAGATTTTAGAAGGGCATGGCCTTCTTGTGTGTGTGTGGGTCATTGGATTCCCTTTGAGCTCTTAGTCTCACTAATAAAAGAATTTAAAAACAGACTTACAAGCATTCTAGATGACTATTTTATTAAACATTTATAGAAAAACAAGAGTACATGAAGGCTAAGAACCCCAGCAACCACAAAGCACAGAGGGAGGGGGTGTAGAGAAAAAGGCATGCTTTTTCAGCTAGGCATGGAGGTCAGAGAAATGGTTAGAAAGGCCAAAGTGTGAGAGAAAACAGGCTTAGGAATGGTGAACCATAGGTCTGAGAGAGGGCACCCGATTCTAGCCTCTTGTGTTCCATGGCAAAGGACTGCATCAAGGACACATTGTAAGGAACAGGAATAGCATATTGAACCACAAAAGACTCCAGATAGCCAAAATAATCCTAGTAAAAAGAACAATGCTGGAGGGATTACTCTTCCAGACCTCCAGATATATTACAGAGGCATAGTAACAAAAACAATATGGTACTGACATAAAAAACATACCTGCAGATCAACGGAACAAAACAGGAGATAGAAATGTGAGTACATATAATTAAAGCCATCTAACATTTGTCAAAGATGTCAAAACCACACACTGGAGCAAAGACAACATCTCCAACAAATGGTGCTGGGAAAACTGGATGTCTACATGTAGAAGAATAAAACCAGAGCCATATCTATCACCCTGCACAAAAATCTGACTCCAAACAGAATCAAAGACCTAAATGTGAAACCTGAAACACTGAACCTGCTAGAAGAAAATATGGGGAGTACCCTACAAGTCATAGATGTAGGAAGAGATTTTTGAATAGGGTGCACT